CTAAAGGGCTGAGTCCTTGGGACTTCTACCCACTCCTCGTACCGCTGAGGAAGCTGATGCACTGAGAGAAGGGACTTGCCCAAGGTCACTCAGCAGACCAGCAGCAGAGCTCCTCCCCTCCAGGCCAGACCCAGTCTACCACCCGCCTGCCCCCCACCAGCTTTGGGGGCTGCTGCCACTCTGGGCCTCAGAGGGGCCAGCACAGCGGGCGGCGGAGGAGGGTGGCCCTCTGGAGAGGGGGGCTCTCCAGACCAGCCACCGGGCAGGGAGGGAGGGAGCCAGGGCGGCGGGGGCGAGGTGGGGGGGGTGGGTCTGGAACCTGGCCTATTGGCAGTGGGGGAGGGGGCGGGGACGATGCTTATCTGTGCGGGGCAGGAAGCACCAGCGACACCCCAGCACAGGGTGGCTGCTCCTTGGCCCTCTGGGGGAGGGGAGGATGTGGGGGGGTTGCTGGGAGCTGTATTTCCCTTTTGGCCTGGGGTGGGGGGTGGAATCTAAAAGGGGAGAAGAACTTTTAGTGGGTGGGGGTGGGGAGGAAGGTGAAGGTGCCGGAGGCCGCCTGGTGAGTCTGCGCGGCCCTTTCCAGCGCCCCAGGCCCTTCGTGGGGTCTGAGTTAAAGTACGTGCCGTGCCGGGGCCTGGACGGCGCCTGGAGCACCGCTCAGTCCAGTGTGAATCTCAGCTCTGTCCTCGGCCCCTCTGGCCGCGGGGAGGCTCCGTCACAGACAGTCACCGCTCCTCAGATGGTTGAGCCCTGAGTCCTGCGGCCACTTCACAGAGCTCCCCATGTGCCCTGTCCCCCAGGCCAGCGCCTTCTCCAGAGGCACGGGCAGGGGTGCAGTGAAACCGGTGGGTGTCTAGAGTAGGTTCCTTGGGCGAGTCCGGGCTTCTGCTCGCACAGGCAGGCAGGACCGTGCGCAGTTGGGAACAGGGCCTGGCCCCACAGCCTGGCTTCGGACGCCGTTCTGCACGCAACTTGGGAAGTCACTTCACCTGCCCGCGCCTCGGGTCCCTTGTCCGTGAGGCGGTGCTCGTCAGGCTCGCGCAGGCTTGCCGAGTAGAAGCCTAACGTAGAGTATCTGGCCCCGGGGTGTCGGCCAGTGCCCGTGCTCCCTCCTTGGACCCCCTCGCAGGGCTGAGTGCTCTCAATCTCTCCCTCTCCTCAACCCTGCAGAAAAAGATGGGGAGCCCTGAGGACGACCTCATCGGGATTCCGTTCCCAGACCACAGCAGCGAGCTCCTGAGCTGCCTCAATGAACAGCGCCAGCTGGGCCACCTGTGCGACCTCACCATCCGGACGCAGGGCCTTGAATACCGCACTCACCGGGCCGTGCTGGCCGCCTGCAGCCACTACTTCAAGAAGCTGTTCACCGAGGGTGGGGGCGGCGGCGGCGTGGGGGCGGGGGGCGGCGGGCCGGCTGCGGGGGGCGCGGGCGTGTGCGAGCTGGACTTCGTGGGGCCCGAGGCGCTGGGCGCCCTGCTGGAGTTCGCCTACACGGCCACGCTGACCACCAGCAGCGCCAACATGCCGGCCGTGCTGCAGGCGGCGCGGCTGCTGGAGATCCCCTGCGTCATCGCCGCCTGCGTGGACATCCTTCAGGGCAGCGGCCGGGAGGCTCCCGGGCCTGACGAGGACGACTGTGAGCGGGCGCGCCAGTACCTGGAGGCCTTCGCCGCCACGGCCACGGCCACGGCCTCGGGAGTTCCCAACGGGGCAGACAGCCCTCCGCAGGGGCCGCTCCCGCCACCCCCGCCGCCGCCGCCCCCCGCCCCGCCGGCCCCTCGGCCAGTCGCCCGCCGCAGCCGCAAGCCCCGGAAAGCTTTCCTGCAGACCAGGGGGGCCCGGGCGAACCACTTAGTGCCCGAGTTGCCCCCGGTGCCCAGCCGTCCTGTGGCCTTCGAGGAGGAGGAGGAGGTGGCGGGCAGGGTTGCAGGCGGCGGGCCGGGGGACGGCTCCAGCCCTCCAGCCGGGACTGCTTCGCCCCCCGCGGGGCCCCTGAGTTACGAGGCCTATGAGGGTGAGGAGGAAGAGGAGGAGCTGGTGTACCCCACCGCCTACGGGCTGGCGCAGGGGGGTGGGCCGCCGCTCTCCCCGGAGGAGCTGGGCTCAGACGAGGACGCCATCGACCCTGACCTGATGGCCTACCTGAGCTCGCTGCACCAGGACGCGCTGGCACCGGGCCTAGACGGCCAGGACAAGCTGGTGCGCAAACGCCGCTCCCAGATGCCCCAGGAGTGCCCCGTCTGTCACAAGATCATCCACGGGGCGGGCAAGCTGCCGCGCCACATGAGGACCCACACGGGTGAGAAGCCCTTTGCCTGCGAAGTGTGCGGCGTCCGTTTCACCCGGTGAGCGCCTGGGAAGGTGGCAGTGGGGGGGGAGGGGAGGGGGTTAGGAGACCCCACGGAGGGGGGAGCAGGTGGTTCTGGAAGGGCTGGAGGTGCCCGGTTACCAGAGCGGCCAGAGAGACCCAAACGGGGAGGCCAGGGGAAGGAAGGTCAAGGGACGCTGGTCTGGTGCAGGAAAGGTTTGGGGTTGAAGGAGGGGTGCTGGAGGCAGGGGCAGGGCTGCGCCCACCTCAGCTGGGAGCAAGTCAGCAAGGGCGTCCTGGGCAGTGAGACCCAGTCTAGGAAGGAGACCCCGAACCCGGGGTGTGTGTGGGGGAGTCGGCCGGGCCTGTGCTGCCCCCCCTCCCCTGCGCTCTGGGGTGGGGGGGGAGTCGGCCGGGCCTGTCCTGACCCCCCTCCCCTGCGCTCCGGGGGTGGGGGGGGTGGGGAGGGGTCAGCCGGGCCTGTGCTGACCCCCCCCCGCGCTCCCCCCCAGGAACGACAAGCTGAAGATCCACATGCGCAAGCACACGGGCGAGCGGCCGTACTGCTGCCCGCACTGCCCGGCCCGCTTCCTGCACAGCTACGACCTCAAGAACCACATGCACCTGCACACGGGGGACCGGCCCTTCGAGTGCCACCTGTGCCACAAGGCCTTCGCCAAGGAGGACCACCTGCAGCGCCACCTCAAGGGCCAGAACTGCCTGGAGGTGCGCACCCGGCGGCGCCGCAAGGACGACGCGCCGCCGCACTACCCGCCCCCCTCGGCCGCAGCGCCGCCGCCCGCGGGCCTCGACCTCTCCAACGGCCACTTGGACGCCTTCCGCCTCTCTCTGACCCGCTTCTGGGAGCAGTCAGCCCCCGCCGGCCCGCCGGTCGCCCCCCTGGGCCCCCCGGACGACGACGAGGAGGAGGGGGCCCCCAGCACGCCTCGGGCGGAAGGGGCGCTGGAGTCCTCTTAGAGAGGGCCGGCGCCCATGCCAAGCAGTGGGATGCGCGTGCGCGGGCCCTGCCGCCCGGGTCGGGGCGCGGGCCCCCCCCCCCCCGGCTTCGGAGGTCCGCCCCACCCCCGCCCCTCATTCCAGTTCCAAGCTGAGAAGGTTTTGGGGCACAGGCTCCCCAGATTGGGGTCATCTCCCAAGGAGTGATACAGGATGGCGTGTCTGTATTTACAGCTCTATCGTAAAGGTGGGGTCCCTGTCCCCGGCTGCTCCTGGGGAGTAGAAGCAATAATGTATTTCTGATTTGTGGGGTCCTTCTTCGGCTATGCGGGTTTTTAGGGGGTGGGGGGCTTGGGACCAAAGCCTTGCCCCGCCCCCACGCCCCTAGGGGTTTTGGCTGTGTCAGGGGGTGAAGGACCGCCCTCCCTTCCCTTGCGAGACCCCTCCTTCCTGGTTTCTGTTCCCTTTTCCTGGCAGTGAATTATGCAAAGGGGGGCGGCGAAGGAAGGGTAGGTGGGGGAAAGCGAGGTGGAAGCTGGAAAGCCTGGGGGACTGGGCCCCGCGGGAAGGAGCCATCCTCGCGCCCCCCCCGCCCCCCCCGCCCCCCCCGCCAGGCCCCGAGCGCTGAGTCACGGGGTCCTGGAGGAGCAGGGGGCGGGGTGGCCTGAGTGGCTCGCCCGCCCCTGGGGGCAGCGGGAGGGGCCCGCTCCGCTCGGCTCTCCGCCCCGGCCGGCCCTGCCCTCCCCTCCCGCGTCCCCGGGCAGGGAATGTCTTGTTCCCGCCGCTCCCTCCCCGGGGCCAGAGGGCAGGGCGGGCCGGGTGGCTCCTGCCCTCCTCTCCTCCTCCCGCCCAGGTGCGAGCCGAGCCGCCGCCGGGCCGCCCCTGACTCACGCCGCCCCCGGGCTGGCGCGGCGCGGGCTAGGGACGGGGTGAGGGGGTGAGGGGGTGAGGGCCTGCGGAGCGCGCGCCCCCTGGCGGTCGCTCCGGGGAGCCGCGGGCGCGCCGCCGGGAGAGCGCGGAAGGGGTCCGGTTCCCAGGCCCCTGCCGGCCCGGCTGCCCCGCTCGGTCTCGGAGGGTAGTCTCCCCGCTCTTCCCTTAGGAGTGAATCCACCCCGGTTCTGTACATAGCCTCTCCTGTTGGTCTCGTTGAAATCTAGTTTCAGATTTTTAACTACCCAATTCTGCTGGGGGTGGGGGCATATGCCCCCCCTTCCTCGCTGGGTGCTGGCCCCCCTACCCCCGTTGAGGCCTGGGCTCTGCCTCCTTGCACTATTTCCCCTCCCTGGCCTGGCGGCCCCTCCCCCTCCTTAAAAGGGGCAGGTTAAGGGGCCCGGTGCTCTCCCTTCCTCCCATGCACCCTCATGCCCATTTGCACAGCTGCCCAGGTACCCCCACTAGTGAGGGGGTGTCACAGGGAGGGGGTAGCGGGACCAGTCCCTGTATCTATTTAAAAAGTGATGATGTAATATATTGGGGTTGGGGGAGGTCGGGTAGCCCTGGGCCTCATCTTAGCATTTCAGGTGATGGGGGAGCCCAGGGCTGGGGACACCTGGGGCCTGGCCCCAGAGAGTGAGGACAATGTGACCTCCCCCTCCCCCCTTGCGGCTTCTCCACTCAGTGCCTTAGGGGGGGAGGCGAGTCCCCCCTCTCCTCTTCCCCTCCTCTTCCCCTGCCCCCACCTCGGGTGTAAACGACAGGAAGAAATAATAATAATTTAAGATTCACACTCGTGTTTGCTTTTGGGTCCTTTATTTGGGGGTCAGGTGCGAGGGGTTGGGAGGAGAGGGCGGTACGAGACCGAGGAGCTGGGGTTCTGAAGCGGGAGAAGGGCTGCTCCGGGGCCCAGGGGGCGTGGGAATCCTGCGAGGTAGGGCCTCAGGTGGGGCCTCTGTGTCCTCTGCCCTCTGCGGAGCCCCCTTCTCGTCCAGGTCACTAGTGAGGAGAGCAGGGGAGTGGCCTGGCCCCCTGTGCTGTTTCCACAGGTGCACCCCCGCCCTGTCGGTTCCCATCTGCCCTGCTCCTCCGGATGCCCGAGGCCGGCTGGTGCGCAGGGGCCAACGGGCAGTCCCTTGCTAAGGTCACATGGCCAGCTGGGGCAGACCCAGTAGTGGCCTCGGCGGCGTACCTACCCATGGCTTCTCCACCCCACCCCCACCTCGTCACACTCCCCCTGCCCCATCAGCCCTCGCCTGTGCCCACCGCAGCCTTCACGCAGCCCCCCTGGGAGGAGGAGGCCGCATGTCCTTCTCAAGCCCTGCTGGCACCTGGCGCTGCGCCCCGGGGCCTCTGGTGGCGCCTGTCCCCCGTCCCCCTCCCCAGCCACCTGCCCCCCAGCCCCCAGGGCGCCTGTGCCAGACCCCAGCTGCTTGTGCGTGTGGCCCCCAGCCTCCTCGCTGGGCACTCACCCACCTCTGGCCTTTGAGTCCTTGACCTCTGACCTCTGCGGCTGTAAGGACTTTTGCCTCTGCTTCTGCTGGGACACCCCTGAACCCCGGCTGCCCTCTGGATTCGTCCCAGAATTCTTTCCCGGCCGTCGTGACCCATCCTCTGTGTCCCTCCTGGCCGCCCCCCCCCCCCCCCCCCCCCCCCCCGCCAGGAAAAGGCCTCAACCCTCAAATCCCGTTCGCGGCTTCACTTCTCACAGCCCAGCACGCTGGAGGCCGTCTCCACAGGCTGCGGCTTTCAGCATCACCCGGGCCTGCTCCGCTGCCTGGAAATCCCTCCCCCCCCCCCCCCCCACCCCGCCACCCCGGCCCCGGCCTCTTTGCTGTCTGCCAAGGCAGGTATTTTGACCCCCATACTGCTCCTTGGAACCTAGATTCTGCTCCCAGCCCCTTCTGCGCTGTCTCAGCAGGGCTCCCTGACCTCTGACCCCCAGGGAACACGCCCACCGGCTCCTGCCACAGGGGCGCCACCCTGTCCACCTGCCCTAGATGCCCTCACCTCCTACGGCCTGGCTCCCCCATCCGCGGAGAAGGAAAGTCTCTCCCCCCCCAGCCCCCCCCACCCCGCCCCGCAGGCCGGCCCCTGCTGCAGGGCACGAACTCCCTCCTCTTCACCAGCTTCCCGTCCTTACGGACAGCAGTTTAGAACCAGAATTATCAGGCCCCTGGCGCCTGTGACGAAGAAGAGCCGCGTCTACTTGTCACCCCTCGGCCCGTGTGACCTGGCTTTCCCGGGGCTGCAGAAACGTTCCCACAGGCAGCCACCAGGCCCGCTGGCCAGGCTGCAGCCTCCCCCTCCTCGCCCACCTCATGGAATTACGTGTGCTGGGCCCTCCGTGTTCTCCAGCCTCTCCCCTGCTCGCTTTGGGCCGGAGCCCTGAGCGGCGGCCCCTTCCCTTCTGCTGCCCCGCCTTCACCCCCGCCTGTGCTTCCACAGCCCTGGCGCCACAGGCCCCGAGCCTTCCTAGCTGGCTCGCTGCAGAGCCCCCAAGGTCCTCAAACCGGGCCCTCCTCGTTCCCCAGGGCACCCCCGGCCCGGGCGGGAACCCCGCCGTCAGCACCTCCGTCCGAGGCCACGCCGGCTCCCCGCCCTGTCCCAGAAGGCAGCTGTGAGCCGGTCAGCCCCAGGTCCGCGGCCGGCCTCGCCGCCCCCCGACTTCCCCGTCCTCTGACCTCACCCGACGGACACACAGCCTCGCTCGCGCCCTGCCCCCTGCGCCCCCGCACGAAACAGCTCACATCCTCCAGGCTCACCCCGGGCTCCCCTGGGCTGCTGTCCCCCCCATGCCGGTCAGCCCAGCACACCCCCAGGGCGCCCCCGCCCAGCGCTTTCACCTCTCCCCTGCAGCCTTTATTCACGCGACCCCATCCCCAACCTGTCCTTCCTCCGCGGTCTGCCCTGCCCCGTCCCCCCTGGGCTGGGGCCCATCCACGCTGCTGTCGCTCATGCGGTTGACGTCACCCCCACAGTTTGGCAGGCCGGGCACTGGGCAAACCTCCTTCCCTCGCTGCCCTCTCCCTTCACCTCTGCCTCCAGCTCCAGCAGAGGCCCGGGCACCCAGAAGCCCTTTGCAGATGTGACGGGTCAGGCCCAGCCTCCCAGGCCCCAGGCCCCCGCCCCCCTCACCTGGCCTCGGGGCTGGACTCCGAAGGCAGGGTCCTGCCCAGCGCTTCCGGCAGCTGTGGGCGCAGCAACCACTCCCGCTCAGGGGCCCTCGTCGGAGCTGCTGCGGCCAGCCGCGGCGGGGGGCCGTCCTCGTCGCTGGAGTCCCTGGAGAAGCTCCCGTCAGCGCACGGCCCACAGAGGTGGGGGGGCGGGGGGCTCCCACCGCCCCCAGCCTCTGGCCGCCCCGTCTCTCTGGAGACTCACAGCTCGGGCTCCAGGTCCCCCTGGTGGGAGAGGGGAGCCGCACACACGGAGCACGTGTTGTCCAGGAGACGGAAGCAGGTAGAACAGAAGAGGCCTGGAAAACGCAGCAGCAGGAGGGAGGCGGCCCTCCCCTCCGCCTCCCCCTCCCGAGCCCCCAGCCCCCAGCCTGGGGGAGGGGCGAGTCAGGTGCTGCCAGGGAGGGGCTGCGGAAGAGTTAAGGTAGACGCAGGGACAGTGAGCCCCCCGCCAGGAGAGGTAATGACGGGAGGGGCTGCAGAGACCGTTCCCTCAGGGGCCGCAAGGGGAGGCCCCGGGTGATTGTCGCCAGGCACACGTGGCCGCGGCTGAGCCCCACAGGGAGGCGCGTGCCCGGACGCTTACCCGGGCAGCCGGGGGTAGCGCAGGACACCAAGTCCTCCGCCTCCTCCCCGCCGTAGCCCTGCGCGCAGCCCAGGCAGTGCTGCTGCGGCGGCCAGAAGTGGGCGACCACCGGAGCCAGACGGGAGCACCTGGGGGTCCCAGACACTGAGCAGGCGGCCCCACCCCCACCGCCTCCCCCCTCCGGGGTAGGACTGCCCGCAGCCTGAGCTCCATCCCGAGCAGCCCCAGGGTCCTGCCTTCCTCCCTTGACGCCCCACCTCCCGGTGAGCCAGGCGAATGGCATGAACCGGCACCCTCTGCAACCCGAGCCTTGGACACTCGGGAAGGGCTGTGGTCCATTCTGACCTCTGGCTCTTTTTCTGTCCCCTCTTGCCCCACTCCTGGAAGGAAGGACAGTGGGCTCACCGCCTGGCCAGCAGCTGCAGGACACTCGTGTGGCCCTGGTCAGCCGCCCGCCGCCTCACTGTTCGGTGCAGGGCAGCCGACAGACTGGTTCGGCGGCTCAGAAGTAAGTTGTAAAGGTAGGAGATCCTCTCCTGGTGGAGGGGAGGCCAGGTGGGAGCACCTTGGTCCTGTGCCCGGGCCTGGAATGCCCTCTGCCCTCCATCCGGCTCATCCCTCGAAGCTTGACCCCTTCTTTGGGAGCCTCTGCACATCCCCGGGTGAGGTTTCCCATTCTCTCCTCCGGGTTTTCATACCACTGATAAATTCATTCATTCCCTAATAAAACATTCCCTCTCTCTCTCTCTTAAAGATTTTTAAAAATTTTTAAATGTTTTTTAAAAGAGATTTTTAAATAATTTTTAAAAAAGTTTTTATCTATTTATATCAAGAGAGACAGAGTGCAAGCTGGGGAGGGACAGAGAGTCTCAAGCAGGCTGTGCTGCTAACGCAGAGCCCGATGCGGGACTTGATTCCACAAACCGTGAGATAGTGACCCGAGCTGAAACCGAGTCTGACGCTGAACCGACTGAGTCACCCAGGCGCCTCCCAAGATTTTGTTTTCTTAAGTAATCTCTACACCCAGTATGGAGCTTGAACTCACAACCCTGAGGCCCAGAGTCTCAGGCTCCCGGACGGCCAGCCAGGCGCCCCTGTAACATCTTCTACTTGTAACATCTCATTAAAGGCCGGTCTGGCCCGCCCGAGACCGTGAGCTCCTGGGTGCGTCCTGGCACCCGTGGGGCAGCACAGCGACCGGACTACACGATGCCCAATAGGTGATCCGTAGGTGAGCCAGCAGGGGCGAGCTGCCTTCACACCCCAACGAGCCGACACGCCCCTCCCCGGGGCTGTTCGCACGACTCCGGAGCCAGGTCGGCTCAAAACGCCGCGCCCTCTCTCAGCCCCATCTGGGCCCAGAGACCAACAGTCAGGGAAGGCGCTGTGGGGTTCAGCCCGCGGAGGGAGGACCGGGGCTGCGGAGCGACTCGAGGCTTCGCCAAACCCAGGCAGACACACAGGGGGCGGGCCGGGGGGGCTGCGGACCCTCACCTGCTCCCGGGACGGGTAGTAGGAGGCGCAGATGGCCCGCCGCAGCCGGCTGACGTAGTGGCCGAACAGCGTCACGAAGCAGCACAGGCCGTACATGATGCCTGAGGGCGCAGCGGGCGCACGGGGCTGCTGTCCGAGGGCACCAGGCGCCCCCCACGCCCTGATGCTGTCTGCGCCCCCCACGCCCTGGGGCCCCCGGGGGGTGGTTGGTACCGATGGCGACGTAACCGGTGGCGTCAGGCTCCGAGGGGCGCAGGACACAGCGCGGGGACAAGACGCTGATGTTGCTTCGCTGCAGGACGTCGAATGCCGACACCAGGTCCCGGTAGATCTCCCAGGTGTAGCCAGCGCCCTCGACGGTCACGGACACCAACACGGGGCCTGGCGCAGAGGCCTGTGAGGCCCCGCCCCGCCCCTGCGGGCCGGCCGCTGAGCTGGAGGGGGCGGCGGGACAGCCCCCTGCGCCCAGCCAGGGGCTTCCGACCAGCCGGCCCGAGGACCCACCCTACCTGAGAGGGCCTGGGCGCCCCGAGTCCCTCCCTGCCCCCACGACTGCCCGGAAGCAGGCGTTTGAAAGCGTTTGCTAAGCACTGACTGTAGCAGCCGCGGGGCTGAGTGCTTTATTGATTGTTGGGGGCTTTTTTTTTTCTCTTCTTCTGTTGGACCTCTGGTAGACACAGGATTAGATTAATTATATTCTGTGGTTTACGGCATGTTCTCAATCAATGGCCTACCAGACTCAGACACACGCGGTGTCACGTACCCCAGAGGGGCTGCGGGGCTGGGGTGAGCACCTCGCGGAGGGCAGAGCTGGGATGGAGCCCAGGCCTGTGTGAGTCCAGCTCCGGTGTTTTTAACTACCCTGTCGTGGCATAACCACAAACTGGACACAGGGGTCACTGGGCAGAGGACAGAGTTGGAAGAGGGGCAAAGCCAGGCGTAGCCGAGTGACACTGACTTGGGGCCGCCCGGGCATCACCCCCCAGGACCGAGGAGGGCAGGGGGGAGCCGGCCAGGGGCTGCGGGAGGTCAGGAGCTCACTGCGGGCCACGATCTCCCCCTGCAGCTGGTGCCGAGCCAGGTCCAGCACCCAGAAGACAGAATAGTCCAGGAAGACCAGGAGCAGCACCAGGAGGAGGTACCGGACAAGGCTGAAGATCGCCAGGATATAAAAAATCTGCTCCCACCGGGACAGGAAGATGGAACCTGGGTGGGAGGCGGTTAGGAGGGTGCTGCCCTGTCCCCCGCCCACCGGGCTCCCGGTCCCCCAAGAGACCTCTGCCTGGGGAGGGCTCCTGCCCCCACTGAGTGGGCCGTTGGTTGATCTGGAAGGTGACGAAGCTGTGAGGACCCCTCAGCAAGGGCGGGAGGCGCAGATGGGGGCTGAGGCTGGGGGTGGGAGCTCAGCCTCTGTGCTTGGGTCCCTTTCCAGTCTTCAGCGTTCCGCCCTTCGGGGGCTTCCCTGGCCCCCTCCCCCCAGACTGCGTCTCCACGTTAGCACACTGGCACTTCTGACCTCACACCCGGAAGCCTCCCTTCCCCTGGCTGGCGCCCACTCCCCGCTAGCCTGCCCTCTGCCTGGATGTGCATCGTGCTCCCGGGAGCACCAGCCACCTTGTCACACGCTACAGTGCGGCGACTTTCCCCTTTCGGACACAAGACCCCCAAAGACAGTGCTGAGCGTGCGTGGGCTTAGGGTCAGGGCCAGCTCGGCGTCCGGTGCAGACCCAGGCCCTCACCCGGCTGGATGTAGTGCCTGGCCTCGTGCGCACTGAGCGGCAGCACCGTGGGCAGCCCCGCCCTTGAGCGGGCGTCTTCCATGAGCAGAAATCGGCGGGTGATGTAGACGTTGTCGAAACTGATCCAGTTCAGGTAACAGTACCGGTAAAACAGGGCTCTGGGGGGGGGTGTGCGTGAGGCCCCTCAGCACCCGCACCAGACCCCACAGGGCACCGCCCTCCCCACCGCACACCGCTGCCCCCAAGCTCCAGCCCCCAGGGGCGCGGGGACGAGCTGACGCCTTGCCCGGAGCCCCCAGCCCCTCACTGGAGGTAGAGGAGCGTGAGCAGCAGGGGTGTGGCGTAGCCCATCAGGAGCATGACCTCGCGGACACGGAGCAGCTTCAAGCTCACGGCTTCCTGCAGGTCCAGGGCCACCTGAGACAGGCTCCGGGAGGCGTTGAGGTCCACGGAGAAGTGATGGGTGGCGGTTACGTTGAACTCAAACTCCTGACGCACCCGGTTAATCAACTCCCTCACAGCTGGGGCCGGCAGGTGCCAGGAGCCGGGAGTCAGGGGGCGAGGGCCTGGCCCAGCTCTCGGACCAGCCAGGACCCCACGCTGGGACCTGCTGTGGGCGGGGGCGGGGACACAGCCTCCACAGTCCATGCCTTCACTCGGCTCCTGCTGCCGTGCCGCCATGACCTGGGGGGGCCCTGATCCTCTCCCCGTCCTGCCCCGGGGGGGGGCCCTGATCCTCTCCCCGTCCTGCCCCGGGGGGGGCCCTGATCCTCTCCCCGTCCTGCCCCGGGGGGGGCCCTGATCCTCTCCCCGTCCTGCCCCGGGGGGGGGCCCTGATCCTCTCCCCGTCCTGCCCTAACTTGAGGTTTGGTGTGCACCTCCCCCTTGCTGGGCCTCCCTTTCCTGGGTAACTTCTTAGGGTCGTTTCCTTGCGGCCCCGCATTCTCATTCTGGGCGAGAGCACCCCGAGGAGCCCAGGGACCACCCAGGAGCACCACCTGCGGCGGGGGGGGATGGGGGGGGCACTCACGGATGCCAATGGTCTTGCGCAAGAAGGGCTGGATGTACTTGGGGATGACGCAGAACACCTGGACCACTGAGGCCCGAGACTGAGTGTCCGGAGGGAACAGACACGTAGCCCCTCCCTCTCTCGGGGACCGACTGCTCGCAGAGGCCTCCCGCCCCCCAGGCTGGTCCCCTCGGCCCCCTGCCCCCCGAGCCGCCCCGCTGGCCCCTCTCACCGCTGGCCAGTCCGCAGAGCACCAGCTTGAAGGGCGTGAGCACGTAGCACAGGTGGTAGGCCCGCGGGATGGCCCCCATGCAGCTGTCCTTGGCGCCGTCGAAGGCCCGCGAGCACTTCACGTAGGGGTTGCCCAGCTCGGCGTTGCACACGTCTCCGATGTGGAGGAGCCAGTACCACACGTTCCGCAGCGCCCTGGCTGGGGACGGCGGGGGCGGGGGCTGCAGCATCTGCCCAGGGGTCTGGGGGCCTCCGGGATGCCCCCCCCCAGAGCAGGAGACGCCAGCGGGCAGGGTGTGCTGTACCCAGTGGGTGCTAGTCACGCCCAGGAGGGGCCCCCGACATCCTGGGCCTGGACAAGGGTGGAGACGCAGGGTGAAGTGTGACGCCCCCCAAGCACACGTGCGAACGTGCTGACCTACATGCCTCACGCCATCCATGATTGACCGAAAGAACTTGCGGACCCGGTCAGCCACCTCTTTGGCCTTCTGGGCAATGGCCTTAATCTTGTCCAGTGCACCTGAGAGGCGGGGGGCCGGGGGAGGCTGTGGGCTTCTCGCCGTCGGCCCCCAGACAGGGGGGTGGGAAGGAGGCAGCCACCTGGGAGGTGGGGAGCCTCTGGCCGGGCCTGGGAGACCGTCTGGCCGTGGAGTAGACCAGTGGGTGAGGATGCGGGGGTCTAACTGGGGAGAGGAGAATGGGGCCAGGGACGGAAGACAGGGGTCATGGGGGCCGGGAGGCCTCACTGATGAGGGGCTGCTTGGCCCGCTCCAATGCTTCAGCGGTCTGGTTCAAGGCCAGCTCCGCTCCGCAGGCCACGGCCTTGCTGGCCTGGGTGAAGTTGTGCAGGGTGTTGGCACAAGGTCCTTGCAGCACCAGCCCGAAGGCAGCCACCATCAGGAGGGTCCGGCCCTGCTCTGGGGAAGGCAGCTCCATCAGAAACAGGATTCCAGCCTTGCACACAGCAGCATCTGCAAGGCTCTCGCGGGAGCTTCCAGAATATTTCCCTCGAGCCTCCCCATCCCCCAGGACCCCGCCTGCCGCTCCCCCCGGGCGCCAGGCTCACTGGAGAAGGCCTGGGGCAGCAGCAGCAGGACGGTGGCCCGCACCCGGCCGGAGAAGGCCATGCCGAGGCCGAGGAAGACGGCCAGAGCCAGGGTGCCCGCCAGGCAGCCCCAGGGGCTGTGCCCTTCCGCCACCAGCTCCAGGAGCCCGTAGGCCGTGGCCAAGGCCAGGCCCAGTGCAAACCCCCCCAGGCTGCGGACCACCGCCCGCGCTGCGCTCGGGCCCTCTGCCGCCACGGCGGGCATGGCTGCTGAGTCCGAGTGTGTGCCTGTTTCCGGGAGCTGTCGCTGGGTTCTGGGTTCTTCTGGGCCTCTGGACTCCTCACCACATTCTAAGGTTCCGGAAGCTTGTGCTGCACCTGTCTTGGAGAGCCTTGTGCAGCTGCAGGACTGGGGAGGGGCAGGCAGGGCTCGAATCTCCTTCCCCAAGTCTCAGAGCAGAGGGGGCAAGAGACAGAGCCGGCAGGCTGTGGGCGCGGCCGAGGGACAGAGCACAGGACACCCGTGGCACAGGCGGGGTGCCCAGAGCAGACGCATGGTCATCACACCGCGTGAGGAAGGGGCCACGTGGCAGGGGAAGCCCCCCCACACCAGTGAGTCAGCCCCAGAGGCCCTGCCCTTTCCCAGAGTCCCCCTGGGCCCCCACGCCTTCCCTGCCCCCCGCGGGTCCCCCAGCGCCCGCTCCTCTCACCCAGTGGCCCCTCCGGCCAACCCCTCTCCTCCTCTGCCCCCCAGCTGCCCTGCTTCCTCAGGGTCCCTCCGCCCCTCCAGGAGGCCCCAAGTTCCTGCCACCCCCCTGCAGGTCCCCCAGCCTCCCTCCTGCAGGCCCCTAGCACTAACGAGGCCCCTCTGACCCGCAGCGGTACAGAGGCTCCTGACCTGGGGGCTGCCCGCCCCCTGCAGCCGATTCCTACAGCGCCAGCCGGGGGAGTTTCCGGTCACTGCCTTCCTGCTGGGCGCGGGCACCGGGGGGCTCCTGGCCGTGGGTGAGTATGGGGCGGGGGGCAGGGCTGGGACCCGCCCTCCGACCTTTGACTTGACCCTGCCCCCTTAGGTCTCTTTCAGCTCCTGGTGAACCCCATGAACATCTATGAGGATCAGAAGATGGTGGCATTGTACAGCCTGGTGGGTTAGTGCTGGCCGAGGACGGGGACGCTCTGGAGGCGGGGGGGGGGCAGGCCTGGAGGGTTCCGGGTCCCGGGAGGGGGTCCAGGCTTGTGTCTTTGTCCCCAAGTGCCCCTGTGGCCTCAGCCTCCTCCTGGGCTTTGAGGGGAGACGCAGGGGCAGGAGTCTCTCAGCCAGCGGGAGAAACCTTGTCCTCAGGGGCCCTTCCCGCCCAGCAGGACCCGCGTTACCCACGTGGCGCAGGCCACGCCCGTCTCTCCGGACCTCTCTGGCCTTGCTTCCTGCTGCTTCGCTCCTTCATTCGCTCATTCACTCAGGCATTCATTTGTTCACTCATTCGTTCCGTCCGTCAGTCAGCGCTCCCTGGTCCTGCGGAGGCTCAGCACTGAACAATGTCTGCGAGCCCCCGGGGGGGAGAGTTAGGCAGCAAAGGACCGAGGAAGGAGCGAGAGCATTTCTGATGGTGACAAGGGCGTGAAGAGAGGAAGCTGGGAGTTCGGGAGGAAGGCGGCTGGGGAGGTGTGGGCCTGAGTAGTCAGGGAAGGCTTCTCGGAGGCGACGCTGCTGTGGGGGGCTCAGGTCGAGAGGTGCCAGGCTGCAAGAACAGAAAACGCGCCTGCAAGTGGTTCAGCCACCGAGAAAACTGGTTATCTCACGTAACAACAAGGTTCCAGGTCGAGCGGTGTCTGGAGTCTGGATAATTCAGCGGCTCGGTCAGCCCCCCAAGGACCCAGGTTCCTCCTGCCTGGTTTGTCTGCCATGTTGGGCCCGGCAACCACCCGCCTCGGGTCACAAACCGGCCGCAGCAAATCCAGGCATCTCGTCTTCATCGGACGATGTCACAAGACCGGAACCTTCCGTCTTCGTGCCTCCCGTAAGGAGGAGGAGGACTCTCCTGGACCCCCGGCCAGCCTCCCCGTGTGGCCCTGTGGCCAGAGCGACCTGACCTGTGTGGGGCCGGCACGCGCGGCTCCTTCTCCAACCACAGCCCCACTGATGGCCTTTCCCACGGACCCTTGCTTGCTTCTTGATTTCATTTTTTAAAAATTTTTTTATGTTTTATTTATTTAGGAGAGAGAGAGAGAGAGGGAGACAGCGTGAGCAGGGGAGGGTCAGAGAGAGAGGGAGTCACAGACTGAAGCAGGCTCCAGGCTCCGAGCTGTCAGCACAAAGACCGATGCGGGGCTCGAACCCACGATCCGTGAGATCATGACCTGAGCCGAAGTCGGACCCTTAACCACTGAGCCCCCAGGCGCCCCTTGATTTCATTTTCAAGACCTGCTCCTGCTTCCGTCACCGGGACTGTTTCTGGGGTTTGAAAGGTCTGGGCCGGTCTATCTACGTGCCACCCTGCTGCCTTCCCCAGCCCCTTCCCTCCCCGGGCCCTGCCCCCCACCCCCAGCCCCTAGTTCCCGCCCCCTGCCCTCCTCACCCCCCACAGCCCCAGCTCCCTGCCCCCACCCCTGCCCCCCCACGGGATGGGGGGGTCCCACAGTGGAGGGGCCGGCCGGTCCTTGTATTTGTTTCCCCACTTCCTTCCTCTTCTGCTTCTTCTGATGTCAGAAGGGATTTGAGGGAAAGGGATGTAAGCCTGCCACCCGCAGTGCCCGCCTAGTGCCGCCCGCAGTGCCCGCCTAGTGCCGCCCACAGTGCTCGCCTAGTGCCGCCTGCAGTGCCCACCTAGTGCCACCCGCAGTGCCCACGGTGCCATCCACGGTGCCTGCCTAGTGCCGCCCGCAGTGCCCACGGTGCCATCCACGGTGCCTGCCTAGTGCCGCCCGCAGTGCCCACGGTGCCATCCACGGTGCCTGCCTAGTGCCGCCCGTAGTGCCCATGGTGCCATCCACGGTGCCTGCCTAGTGCCGCCCGCAGTGCCCACAGTGCCATCCATGGTGCCTGCCTAGTGCC